ATGCCTGAGACGCTCCTGATGAGGTGGCAGATGGTCTCCTAAGGGATCTCCTCCCAGGCCTGGACTAAAGCATCTGCCAACTCCTGGACAGTCTGTGGTGCAACGTGGCGTTGGTGGATGGAGCGAGACATGATGTCCAAGATGTGCTCAATTGGATTCAGGTCTGGGGAACGGGCGGGCCAGTCCATAGCATCAATGCCTTCCTCTTGCAGGAACTTCTGACACACTCCAGCCACATGAGGTCTAGCATTGTCTTGCATTAGGAGGAACCCAGGGCCAACCGCACCAGCATATGGTCTCACAAGGGGTCTGAGGATCTCATCTCGGTACCTAATGGCAGTCAGGCTACCTCTGGCGAGCACATGGAGGGCTGTGCGGCCCCCCAAAGAAATGCCACCCCACACCATGACTGACCCACCACCAAACCGGTCATGCTGGAGGATGTTGCAGGCAGCAGAACGTTCTCCACAGCGTCTCCAGACTCTGTCACGTCTGTCACGTGCTCAGTGTGAACCTGCTTTCATCTGTGAAGAGCACAGGGCGCCAGTTGGGTAATTGGCCAATCCTGGTGTTCTCTGGCAAATGCCAAACGTCCTGCACGGTGTTGGGCTGTAAGCACAACCCCCACCTGTGGACGTCGGGCCCTCATACCACCCTCATGGAGTCTGTTTCTGACCGTTTGAGCAGACACATGCACATTTGTGGCATGCTGGAGGTCATTTTGCAGGGCTCTGGCAGTGCTCCTCCTGCTCCTCCTTGCACAAAGGCGGAGGTAGCGGTCCTGCTGCTGGGTTGTTGCCCTCCTACGGCCTCCTCCACGTCTCCTGATGTACTGGCCTGTCTCCTGGTAGCGCCTCCATGCTCTGGACACTACGCTGACAGACACAGCAAACCTTCTTGCCACAGCTCGCATTGATGTGCCATCCTGGATGAGCTGCTCTACCTGAGAACCAGTTCAGATTTAAGTATAACTTTTGTATGACTGAAGCTTTTAGTGATAGGTCTAATGCTATAATATTTAATAATTTCTGTCCTCCGAATTCATATTTATTATATAAATAAGCCCGTTTAATTTTGTCTGGCTTGCCATTCCAAATAAAATTGAATATTTTTTTACTCATTTAATATTTTTTTAAACTGTTCGCTAAGCTTAGGCTAAGCATAGGCAAGACCATAAGCAAATAGGTATACTGGGATAATACTAAAGAGTTAATCAGTGTGATTTTTCCACAAATAGACAGGTATTTACCTTTCCATGGTCGCAAGATCTTATCTATTTTTGCTAACTTTCTATTAAAATGTATTGGAGTGAAAACATATGCTTAAAGTACTTTGCATCCTCCTTCAAAATATAATTTGGTTAATCATGGGTGACTCCGTCATTTGTAACTAGTTTCAGTAAATTGTTTTTGGTAGAATTTCTATGTTGAAGATTAAAAAATAATTTGGTGCATTTTTCCCCATATTCCATCCTGTTTGCATTATTTTTATAATATATTACACTTGATCTTTCTTGAATAAGTTTCTCCATTTCTTTTTGTTTTTCCTCTCATTTATTCTGAGCCTCTATGTTACAGTTTTTATTGCCATCTATCTGATCTGTTAGACCTTCTATTTCCTTTGTTAGTATGGACTCTTGTTTTCGAGATGAGTACTGAATTGCATGGCCTCTAAAAGGCACATTTAAAAGTGTCCCATACAAAAAGGGGATTTGCTGTACCTATGTTATGTTGTAAAAAATCTGTTATAAATTCATCTGTCAAAGTTAAAAACAAGTTATCATCCAATAGGCTTTGATTTAATTTCCAATATCCTCGCCCATGTGGAGTAATGTATATGGCAATTATACGATGGTCCGACCGCATTCTGTCCCCTATCAACACTTTTGAAACTTTTGGTGCCAACGAGAATGACATAAGAAAGAAGTCAAGATGACTAGCTTGATTGAGTCTCCGCCATGTATCTCTCACTAGGTCAGGAATTTAAGCCTCCATATATCTACTAGTTCTAATGTATCCATGACATTCATGATTTCCTTAAGAGCATGAGGGTGATAGTTTGTAGTGTGATTTCCTTTACGGTCCATTGAGCTATTTAAAACAGTATTATAATTTCCCACCATAATAATAGTCTTGTATTGCTTGCAGGGTTGATAATTTATTATATATATTATCAAAGAAGTGTGGCTCATCATTAAAAGTTCAAATCTTAATTGGCGCATTTCAAACTGTCCATTTGTGATGCACACCCGGGAACTAGTTATGTTCGATGGCGAGTGGAGGGGTCGATAAACCAGAATTGTGTCAAGTTGGCTGGATGTCCTTTGGGTGGGGGACCATTCTTGATACACAAGGGAAACTGTTGAGCGTGAAAACCCCAGCAGCATTGCAGTTCTTGACACACTCAAACCGGTGCGCCTGGCATCTACTACCACACCTACTACGAAGTTTGAAAATGTATCCACTTATTACTGTAAGTCGCTCTGGATAAGCTAAATGACTAAAATGTAAATACCCTGTTCAAAGACACTTAAATATTTTGTCTTGCCCATTCACCCTCTGAATGGCACACATACACAATCCATGTCTCAATCCATGTCTCAATAGTCTCAAGGCAAATCCTTTTTTAACCTGTCTCCTCCCCTTCATCTACACTGATTGAAGTGGATTTAACAAGTGACATCAATACGGAATCATAGCTTTCACCTGGATTCACCTGATCAGTCTATGTCACAGGTGTCAAACCCATTCCACGGAGGGCGGAGTGTGCGGGTTTTCGCTCCTCCCTTTTACTTAATTGATGAATGAAGGTCACTAATTAGTAAGGAACTCCCCACACCTGGTTGTTTAGGGCTTAATTGAAAGGAAAAACCAAAAACCTAGAGACACTAGGCCCTCCATGGAATGAGTTTGACTCCCCTGGCTATGTCATGGAAAGTTGTTTTGAACACTCAGTGTATATGTTGACATATTTGCGCCAACATCACCCCAGTATACCAGAGCAAGACGGAAACTCAAAGAAACAACAACACAACATCGTCTCCCCTCTGCATTCAAGCAACCCCCCTTGGCAGCAGATTCTGACTGGACCAAAGAAATGACAAGAGCGATAGGTAGCCTATGTTAATATATTTCTTTTTATAGCCGCAGATATTCGCCCATTCTCAGTGGTTGAGAATAGGGTGGTGTTTCAGCAACTCGTGAAAGTGCTCGAGCCACGTTAAGAACTTCCCTCTTGCATCCATTTCAGCAAACAGGTAGTACCCGCTCTATATAAGCAAGTCAAATCTTTCAATTAATTGGCCAATGCAATTAATTGTTTCCTTTTTAGATAAAACTATATTAAATATATTAAAGTCACCAAATAAATGATTAAAACACACCGTTTTGCAATGAAGGTCTACAGTAGCCTCAACAGCACCCTGGTGTACATTGACTTCAATATAAAACCTAGGAGGCTCATGGTTCTCACCCCCTTACATAGACTTGCACAGTAATTATGACGACTTCCAGAGGACGTCCTCCAACCCATCAGAGCTCTGAACTGACATGTTGTCCATCCAATCAAAGGATCAGATAATGAATCTAGTACTGAAAGCATAAGCTACAACTAGCTAGAACTGCAGTGCATAAAGTGTGGTGAGTAGTTGACTCAAGTAGAGAGAAAGACAATGGGCCTACTTGAACAGTTATGAACAAATTACTTTATTAAAAAATTAAGGAAAAGCAGCAGAAAGAGATAGCGAGAGAGATAGAGATGGCTATATTTCATTGTATTTTTTTCTTTTTAGTTTACGTCTCACTTACAGTACTTCGCTAATGCAGCTAATTTAGCCTAGTCAACAAACTCTCAAACAGAGAGGAATGCTATTTATGTTAGCTAGCTGGCTAAGGCTATCCCATACTGCAACTCTTCCAAGTCAAGGTAAGCTTTCGGTTTTAATAATTTATTGCCAGGTGTAACTGCTAAACTGCTTGCTGTACTGCGTGATTGTACACATTGGACGTGTTAGTTGTAGTTTGTTGACTACCGGTATAACGTTAATATGGTGAGAACGATGTAGGCTGTGTAGACGTTAGCGGTTATGATATGAAGGTTTGGCTTTTGAGAGGTTTTTGCACCTGGTCATAGACAGCTGTTGTGTTGTGCACTGATGTCCACAAGCAAAGGGAAAAGGTGACGAGGAGAGCGCATAGATACGAGTAGGAATTATACAACGAGCAAAGTGACGATGCTGTATGTGGCTGCTATGAAAGTGAACTGTGTGTGCCGGTGATCAAGGGTGTAGTCATTCCACCAATTCTGTTGCAAAACGTTTCTTAAATGGAAGCAAATGGAAGGAAACAGGGAGGGACCTATCTGAATTTGTCCAATAATAGAAACTCTTGTTTTAGTTGCAAAACGGAACTGAAACTGTTTGGACTAATGATTACACCCCAGATCAAATGCAGGCAAGATTGTGAAAGGCGGTATTGAATGTGTCACCTTGATTACTCCAATTTGTCTCTCAAACCTGTGCAACTACATTTTAAACGTTCATTTGCAGGCTAGGTTGTAGCAACCTCATGCTGGGTATAGGGCAAATTCAAGTATCATGTAGTAGTCTTAACCTATCGATGTTACATTGAGCTGGGTGAATGGAATATGAATGACAGTCATCCAATATGCTGTAATAGAAAAAAGGCCATGCTCGTGAAAAAAATAACATCCTCAATCTTAAACGGCACCGACCACCACTGCTGGAGAGGAAATTCTAGAAAACACTACAACAATAACCTTCTCAGACCAGGACACAAAGCTTTGTTCCAACTTACATTCATAGACGTGGACGTTTTTTTATTGAGGTGGACTTGGTCACCTCAAAACAAAGAATTGATGAGGGACATCCTGAAGTGAAAACCCTCCATCCCCCTAGCCCACATGGCTGGGCTGCCTCCTCCATGCTACTCTGTCCACTGTGCCTAAGCTATGCATGAGAGCGGTGGAGTACTGAACTCACCCCTCATGCCGCTGCCCTCCTTGTGAAATGTTCTGCTGCGGTGCAAGCCTCCTCCACAGCAACCTCCTCCTCCTAGACCTGCGTCCTCCAGGTGCTCGCTGCCGCCGCTGCCTGACGACGCTACGCTGCTTTGGGGGGAGAGGGGTGCGTGGTGGGGGTCGGTGGGGGCCAGCCCCAGCCCTCCTCCTCCCCGGGGCCCGCGCAGGTCCTCCTGGGAGAGCCAGCCGTGACCCAAACCCAGGGCCAAGGAGGAGGAACCGGCCAAGGAGCCCTCACTCATCGGGGGGGTGAGGGACACCGAACGCTTCAGGGGACTGTGCTGCCCGCCGCCACCGCCAGACAGGACTGCAAGACACACACAAGAGACAGGGGGGGGGTTGGGTGGGGGAGGCCCAGACAGTTAGAAAGGGGCTCAGTTCTGCTGTCTGTCTACTAGGATACTACTATGATAACACACTGTGTTAGCTAGAGAGCTAGTAGGGACATATGGACACAGGCATGGTGAGGCCCAGACCAGACCAGAGTCTTAGCCCCCAGCTCAACTTTACTACTGTAACAAATGTACTGATGATTATAATGTCCATTCACAACACACTGTTCTCGCAGAGGGAAGTAGGCTAGCAGTGATGGGGCTCTAGTGAGAGGAAAAAGCATGCTGCATGCTCAAGGTTGTGTGGTTAAGGGGGCTAGCTACTGCGGGTGGGGTGGTGGTGGTGCACAACCCCGCGTCAAGTCGACACAGCCTGCTTGTGTTCAAACTGTCGTTCAACTTCTAACTCCTGCTTCATCAACACTTCTGTCATTAAGACGGAGGCCTTATGGAATCCCTATCGTTTAAAACATCAACTTTACCTCCTAAAAACTGATCCTTTGTGGAAATGCATGGCAAGGGAGGCCGCTGGGCACAGTTGGGTCACAGAAAACACAACTTCTCTTATTTATTTTATTTGTCGGAAAAACAAGTGAGCAAGAGAGACGGAGACATTTTCTCCTCCTTTTACACCTACACAACAGGTAAGCCTTTATTTGGACCCCCGCAAAACCTTGTATGCGTCACGGAACGTTCCAGAAGTAGCTGGAGTAGGACAATTCCACAGTAATGGAATTACGCTCAGATTCCGATTTTCAGATTCAAAGGACTACTTCGAACAATTTACACAGAACATTTCACAAAAACACATATACTGGAAGAACTGTGCAGATGTAAAGTTTGGTAACAGAATTACGGTAAAATCTCCCTCAGTTTTTTATGCAACCACGTTTTCCTACATTTCTGTTAAATATCTGCTCCAAATTACGATTCAAAGATGTCTGCAGAAAGAATGGGGTGTCAACTATGACATGAGGGAAGTAGGCTAGTAGTGATGGGCTCTAGTCAGAGGAAAACGCATGCTGCATGCAAGGTTGAAAACATGTATTTTGGATATTGAACTACAGTTGCTGAAGTGGATTTACTTCCGGCACTGATCTGTACTGTACAGAAATGCATAATTATGGATATGAATATAATTCTCTTCATGGTGATGTATCCTGAATATGTACACACGTATAAATATGCAATATCCTTCTTTTGCATATTTGGGTACTATTCTATACACTGGCTATTATGGTAATGAGCACCGCCCCCAAACAAGACCACATTTGGTTGGTCCGGACCAGACCAAATCTGAAACAATCATAATAGACCCGTTTCGTTTTTCATTCATTTTTTACAAATGAATTTTTGTTCCACTTTGACATGAGTATTTTGTGTAGATCATTGACAACAAATGACAATTAAATCAATTTCAGATAGAAATATGTAACAACAAATTGTAGAATAAGCCAAAAATATAGACTTTTCGCTTTCATTTAACATACTCCTGTGAACTTCACATGTTGGTGCTCATGGTTCCATTTAGATGGAAAAGCCCAGTCGACGGAGCGGGCACGCTGGCTTAGTAGGCCAAAACAATAAGATGTACAGGAGAGGGCTTTATGTGCCCACTGCTCGGCCGGTGTCTGTGTGCTCGCGTGTGTGTGCCGCCTGTCAGTCTCTTTCTCCCCCTATATGTGGCACCACTAACTGTGTTGGCCTGGCTATGTATAGGACTTCACGGGCTGGTTTAAAATAGGTGGCCAGCTAACATTACAAGTTCCAGTACCTAAATATTAGCCATTTTCCTTAAATACAGACTCTCCACAAAGGCTACCTTACATGGGTAAGGGATGGGACGTGGTGCCTGGGGGGAGCAGCTCGATGGTGGGTGTTGTGCAATCAAGAGTGGTGCCACGTCACAGTGTATTACGACATGACAAAAATAAGTATGGTTGAAAGGAAGTGAGGTAGTTTGAGACTTTAAAAAGGTCCCCACCACGAAATAGGAGAATCTGCCAATCATAGAGTACTACGGTCCAGTCATAGAAATAGAGAATGATAATTCTATGGGTCAAGTCTCCATATTAGGGACTTTAACAATGCAATATTTCTATACACAATTTCCTTTTCGCCATAATCAACAATTCCTTTGTTTATCAACTATATTGAACAATAAAATCTAATTCCTAAACACTTCCTGAGTAGCCTATAACAGCCCTATGACCTAACCAGTAGAAATGATTGAATATACAATCAAGAGAGAATTACTTAATTTGGGCATAAGATGAAAAACGCTAGCTAGAGAATTTAGCCACTAAATCTCTTCTAACCTAACCACCATAAACTGCCCTGGCTGACAGTCAATTCATTTGAAGATTACTAGGACCACACTCAGTAAGCAAACATTGAGGGACATTGCAGATAGAAATGTCACGAATAGAGCTGACATGATTCCTTATTCTACATATCAGAGGCATGTTTGTTCTACATAACATATCTCTATCTGAACGTTCCACAAAGTTGTGCCCTGCTGAACGCAACCCCAGTTCAAACAGATTCAAACAGAATCCTGGCTGATTGGCTGGCTAAAAGCCCATTTATGCTTGATTCTGAAAATGTGGTCAGAGGCTCCGTATGGACGGTGTGACGCAATTTCGGAGCCTCTGGAGGCACGCAGAGGCCAAATTGAACTCCGTACCGCATCGCCGTGCGCCTCCCAAATTTTGCAACATGATTGGTTGACGGTAGATGGGGGCGGAAGGTCCTGTATAAACACAAACTCACTTCCTTGACAACTTCCTTCACAACAGCTCTGCACTGCTCCGCGAAGCATGAATGCCCTGACTTCTGCAGAGGCCGTATCACCGTAAATTCAGCAACTTTAATCCCGTGGTGACCGACCATTGGCTAAAGGAGGGTAAAATCGCTCCTTTGTGCGACGGACTGATGGACAAGCCCAGTCCCAAATAAAAAAAAAGAGGATCTTGCGCCGGGCCCAGACCTTTAAAATGTGTCCTTATTTATATCTCCAGCTGTCTCCTTCATCAGGAAAAAAGACCCTTGCATTCTTCAGATGGAAATATCCTGCTCTAACCACAGATATGTTGAATGTGAATAGCTTTGGAGTGTTGGGCCGTAGGGCCTACACACCCACCAACCACTCTAGACTTCCGCGCAGCGGATAGACATTTTCCTTCCATTTGTCAGATGTGGCTAGTGGCTGGCTGGCTTGGGTTTGTTTGGAGTTTACCTGTGTGACGGGCCTGACGGCATTGGTTGCGGCTAAACAGGGGTTCCCAAACTTTTTCACTCAGGCCCCCCTTCCAGCATTGGAGAGCACCCCCCCCCCCCCCCACACACACACACGTCTATTTCTATGGGCACAAGCACTAATTTCCTGCAATTCTTTTTTGCCATGTCTTATGTGCGCTCATGTGATGTTTGATTGACTCAAACATTACAACAAAATCTATGGGCTAAAAAACATACAGTGAGGGAAAAAAGTATTTGATCCCCTGCTGATTTTGTATATTTGCCCACTGACAAAGACATGAACAGTCTATCATTTTAATGGTAGGTTTATTTGAACAGTGAGAGACAGAATAACAACAAATAAATCCAGAAAAACGCATGTCAAAAATTTTATACATTTATTTGCATTTTAATGAGGGAAATAAGTATTTGACCCCTCTGCAAAACATGACTTAGTACTTGGTGGCAAAACCCTTGTTGGCAATCACAGAGGACAGACGTTTCTTGTAGTTGGCCACCAGGTTTGCACACATCTCAGGAGGGATTTTGTTCCACTCCTCTTTGCAGATCTTCTCCAAGTCATTAAGGTTTCGAGGCTGACGTTTGGCAACTCGAACCTTCAGCTCCCTCCACAGATTTTCTATGGGATTAAGGTCTGGAGACTGGCTAGGCCACTCCAGGACCTTAATGTGCTTCTTCTTGAGCCACTCCTTTGTTGCCTTGGCCGTGTGTTTTGGGTCATTGTCATGCTGGAATACCCATCCACGACCCATTTTCAATGCCCTGGCTGAGGGAAGGAGGATCTCACCCAAGATTTGACGGTACATGGCCCCGTCCATCGTCCCTTTGATGCGGTGAAGTTGTCCTGTCCCCTTAGCAGAAAAACACCCCCAAAGCATAATGTTTACACCTCCATGTTTGATGGTGGGGATGGTGTTCTTGGGGTCATAGGCAGCATTCCTCCACCTCCAAACACAGCGAGTTGAGTTGATGCCAAAGAGCTCGATTTTGGTCTCATCTGACCACAACACTTTCACCCAGTTCTCCTCTGAATCATTCAGATGTTCATTGGCAAACTTCAGACGGGCCTGTATATGTGCTTTCTTGAGCAGGGGGACCTTGCGGGCGCTGCAGGATTTCAGTCCTTCACGGCGTAGTGTGTTACCAATTTTTTCTTGGTGACTATGGTCCCAGCTGCCTTGAGATCATTAACAAGATCCTCCGGTGTAGTTCTGGGCTGATTCCTCACCGTTCTCATGATCATTGCAACTCCACAAGGTGAGATCTTGCATGGAGTCCCAGGCCGAGGGAGATTGACACTTCTTTCGTGTTTCTTCCATTTGTGAATAATCGCACCAACTGTTGTCACCTTCTCACCAAGCTGCTTGGCGATGGTCTTGTAGCCCATTCCAGCCTTGTGTAGGTCTACAATCTTGTCCCTGACATCCTTGGAGAGATCTTTGGTCTAGGCCATGATGGAGAGTTTGGAATCTGATTGATTGATTGCTTCTGTGGACAGGTGTCTTTTATACAGGTAACAAGCTGAGATTAGGAGCACTCCCTTTAAGAGTGTAAAATCAGCTCGTTACCTGTATAAAAGACACCTGGGAGCCAGAAATCTTTCTGATTGAGAGGGGGTCAAATACTTATTTCCCTCATTAAAATGCAAATCAATTTATAACATTTCTGACATGCGTTTTTCTGGATTTTTTGGTTGTTATTCTGTCTCTCACTGTTCAAATAAACCTACCATTAAAATTATAGACTGATCACTTCTTTGTCAGTGGGCACGTACAAAATCAGCAGGGGATCAAATACTTTTTTCCCTCACTGTAGCTAAAAAACGTTAGCTGACAAAGGCTAGTTGATGTGGACATTCCTAAAAAGTTATAAATAGCTCTCTAAGGTCTGCAATGACTGACATGACAAGAGGAAAACTGTGTGTGTGTGTGTGGGAGGGGTTCGTCTAGACTCTTGAGACTTTGATGCCACTTTATTTGAAAAGGTTACTAACACAACTAAAGAGGTGAAAATTGTCATTGTAAACTATAATTTCAGAGATTCCTGAGGCGAGTCAAGTCTGTTTGATAAAGACCATAATTTCATCAGTAGCAATCAGAAACCCTGATTAAGCACACACAAACTGCTAAGAGTGAGTCTTCCAATCCAAAACAACCACAAGAAGTGGAGGAGGCCACGTCTCAACACGGCTTCCTTTCCTTGTCTCCTTTAAATTCACCACAACTGATGGTGAAAGGCCTGGGTAGATCTTCAAACCTAACCTAACTCTTTGCGGGCCTAGGCCAGGTTACTACTGTGACACCCTGAGCGGGGTCGACAACAACCAGATGTATTCAGTGTTCAGGGATACATTACCTTCAACCTAGCTTCCGTTTCCCCTGAAAACCGGATGTGGGGACTCCGCTCAGGTGTTTATTTTATGCCCATTTTATGTTAGGTTACTACTGTGACAACATTGGGACAAATGTTGATGTAAACAGGGCTTTATGAATAAAATGTGATTGATTGATTGGACTCCTTTCAGATCAGTGCTGCCCCAGATAGAAAGTAAACCAGTAGAGGAAAGGAGGACAGGAAGCCATGTCAGACTATTTGGACTTCGCTATAAAAAGCAGGAAGTCGAAAAAGAAGAGCCACTCACTGGTGTTGCTGCTGCCGCCCGTGCCCACCGTGTTGATGCTCCCGGGTACCGACGAGGACGGGTAGAGAGCCAGGTGCCCACCATTCTCACACCCTCCCTGCCCCTGCCATCCGCTGCCCAACCCAGAGTCCCTCGACCCCTGCCAGCCGTTGAGCCGATCGTCTGAACCGTAGCGCTGGTGGTGATACAGGTGACTCAGGTGGCCCCCAGAAGATCCCAAACTGGAACCCGACGAGGAGAGCGTCGAGGGGGGCGTCTGGTGGTGCGAGGCCGGGGAGGGGGGCGGCCGTTCCAACGAGTCGCCCCGGGCGGCGGCGCGCTCCTCCAGGTGATTGAGCCAGAGGGCGAGAGCGGCGCGGTCGTCCAGCGAGGTGGCCGGGTGGATGAGGGCGTAGGAGAGGAGCTGACGCGACTCTTCCAGATGGCGGCCGTGCTCGATGGTGTGTGCCAGGATGCGGGGGAGGAGGCGCATGTACTCGCCCTTGGCTTCGATGTTGCCCGGCTTGAGCAGGGGCAGGTGGGTGAGGACCAGGGAGATGACGCGCTCCTTGGGCTCGCCCTGCCACTGGCTGATCATCACTGGGGGAGGAAGAGAGAGAGGGAAGGGAGAGAAAAATAGAGGAACGGTTAGTGCAGCAATCCGCAGTACAACTTAACAGTGGCTTATTCAGAATGGTGTGACTTTTTGAATTTTACAGATTGCAATGTTCAGTGTTTTCAATTAGCGCCGGCTGTCGCCTATACAGCCGGGTACTTTTTCCACAATTCCCAAGTCAGAAAACAAGTCTGCCGAGCCCTCTTCCGCTAGAATGAACGATATGCATCTTCTAGTGATCTACTGATAGGACAGGCACCTGTCAGTCACAAAGTGAGCGACGACAAGGAAACACTGCTGGCTTGACAGTCCTGCCTCCCGGTACCTGTGTGTGTGTGTGTGTGTGTGTGTGTGTGTGTGTGGTGTACCCTGTGGTTGCAGTCAAATTTATTTAAAACGGTGGGAGAGAGCGTGATGCTCCTTCATAGTCTATGTGAGTCAATTTGCACTTCCCATATAATGTGGCAACAATGAGTCGAAATTCACATAGCCTATTGTTTTCAGGCACATTCATTTATTCTCAATCATTTGCAGTCACGAAGTGGCTTAATGTGATTTGATTGACCAACAGCAAGTTTGACAAGTTTATAAATGGTGTCGAACTGACTGAATAAAGTTGATCTCATATTTCCTTGCCATTCATAAATCATACAACGTAGTTATACAGTCATTGGCCAGTTCATGAAAATGGATTGCTCCTACAGACAGCTGGCCGTTGCTTGCTATTTAAAGCAGGCAGAGGCATTCAGTTACTGTTCAATTGGACGTTAAAATGGGCAAAATGAGTGACCTAAGCGACTTTGAGCGTGGTATGATCGTTGGTGCCAGGCGCGCCGGATCCAGATTGTCATGCACGACAGTGTCTAGAGTTTACAGAGAATGGTGCGACAAACAAAAAACATCCAGTCAGCGGCAGTCCTTTCGGTGAAAACAGCTCGTTGATGAGAGAGGTCGAAGGAGAATGGCAAGAATCATGCAACCTAACAGGCGGGCCACAAACAGACAAATAACGCCGCAGTACAACAGTGGTGTGCAGAACGGCATCTCGGAACGCACAACTCATCGATCCTTGTCACGGATTGGCTGCTGCAGAAGACGACCACACCGGGGGTTCCACTCCTATCAGCTAAAAACAAGAAGAAGCAGCTCCAGTGGGCACGTGATCACCAACACTGGACAATTGAGGAGTGGAAAAACATTGCCTGGAACATGACAGCGAGCTCAGTTTACTTGAGTGGCCTGCGCAGTCCCCAGACCTCATCCCAATAGAGCATCTTTGGGATGAGATGGAATGGGACGTTCGCAGCATGATGTACCGCCGTCCAATCTGCAGCAACTGCGTGATGCCATCGCGTCAGCATGGTCCAACATCCCTGTGGAACGTTTCAGACACCTTGTAGAATGCCCAGAAGAATTCAGGCTGTTCTGGAGGCAAAGGGGGTTCTGACCCGGTACTAGATGGGTGTACCTAATAAACTAGCCGGTGAGTGTATGTCCATGGTGTCGCATCGGGACAAGTAAACTAAAGATTGTTTGTATTTTCGATATGAAGTCCATCAGGACTTGCCAGACAGTGATGTTAAAGTGAGTGACCCGTCAGTAGCCTACCGAATCGCATCCGTATGAGAGCCGTTCATTTGGCTCCCTAATTTGCATAAGTGTATGCTTTTTGGCGATTATCTGCAAATAAATTATGAAAACATTCGATGAAGATGGTGAATCCTCCTCACTGCAGAAACAATAGGTAGGCTAGTGGAATGATAGCCCCAATCTGGTCCAAAATATGATACAAAGGAAAACAGATTAAATTGGGGGCACCACACCCTCATAGGGTAATTTTTTTCCCTTAATCATATCACAATCAACTTTTACAAGTTGAATGTAAACACAAATATAATACTTTTCTGTATTAAAAATGTGGTGAAATATGTTATTAGAATATGCAAATTAGGTGATATGTCCTTAAATATGTGCATATTTACATATCGCACAAATACATTTTTCTGGACACTGGATGAAGTCAACAAAATGGAACAAAAATATTTAGGCTAAGACACTCCAGGAACGGACTTGTCCACAGCAGATTGTGGATAAGTACTTTAAAAATGTTTATATCTGTAAAATACTAACGATATGTACTTTAAAAAAAAATATCCATAGAAAATGTTATCTAGAATAAAATATTTACAACATATCATCAATTCCCTTTGGGCAAGCCACGAGAATATACAGTATCTACATGAAATGAATGGTAGCCTAGTAGTCAGACCTAACTTGATGGATTAGGTCGGGATGGAGATCTGAAACAAGCTCGTATAGGCCTAGTTCAGTAGTTTCAGATTCCAAATAGCTTACAGTAAACTAGACTACTACATTGCATTAAGTTATTGAATTATTTAGAATTTTCTCCCCAAACAAAATTAAGAAGCCAGTTTACATTTTCACTAGACTATCCAAATAAAGACACCTATTAATTAGAATAATCATTACCCCTAAATTTTACCTACAAAAATGTGAAAGTGTCATTGAGAAGACCTCAATATTATTTAGGATCAAACACAAGACTTCTCTGTTGGCTTACTTGGCTACATTGTTTGATATAATTTAAGACTAGGTTTTAGGAAATGGCAGTATTTTTCTTGTTTAGTAGTCTAAATTCAGTGTACTTGTCTTTAACTGCCATTTCCTGAAAGTCAGACTCTTCCTACATGCCAACTACACTGAACAAAAATATAAACGCAACATACAATAATTTCAAAGATTTTACTGAGTTACAGTTCATATAAGGAAATCAGTCAATTTAAATAAATAAATTGGGCCCTAATCTATGGATTTCACATGACTGGGAATACAGATATTCATCTGTTGGTCACAGATACCTTAAAAAGGTAGGGGTGTGGATCAGAAAACCAGTCAGTATCTGGTGTGACCACCATTTGCCTCATGCAGTACGACACATCTCCTTCGCAAGAGCTGATCAGGTTGTTGATTGTGGCCTGATGTTCCACTCCTCTTCAATGGCTGTGCGAAGTTGCTGGATATTGGCGGGAACTGGAAAATGCTGTCATACACGTCGATCTAGAGCATCCCAAACATGCTCAATGGGTGACATGTCTGGTGAGTATTCAGGTCATGGAAGAACTGGGACATTTTCAGCTTCCTGGAATTGTGTACAGATCATGGGGCAGTGCATTATCATGCTGAAACATGAGGTGATGGCTGCGGATAAATGGCACGACAAACGGTATCTCTGTGCATTCAAATTGCCATTGATAAAATGCAATTGTGTTCGTAGCTTATGACTGCCCATACCAGAACCCCACCGCCACCATGGGACACTCTGTTCACAACAGCAAACTGCTCGCTCACACGACGCCATACACGTGGTCTGCGGTTGTGTGGCCGGTTGGACGTACTGCCAAATTCTCTAAAACAACGCTGGAGGCAGCTTATGGTAGAGAAATTAACATTACATTCTCTGGCAACAGCTCTGGTGGACATTCCTGCAGTCAGCATGCCAATTGCATGCTCCCTCAAAACTTCAGACATCTGTGGCATTGTGTTGTGTGACAAAACTGCACATTTTAGAGTGGCCTTTTATTGTCCCCAGCACAAGGTGCATCTGTGTAATGATCATTCTGTTTAATCAGCTTCTTAATATGCCACACCTGTCAGGTGGATGGATTATCTTGTCAAAAGGAGAAATGCTCGCTAACAGGGATGTAAACAAATTTGTACATAACATTTGAGAGAAATAAGCTTTTTGTGCGTATAGAACATTTCAGGGATCTTTTATTTCAGCTCATGAAACATGGGACCAACACTTTACATGTTGCGTTTATATTTTTGTTCAGTGTCCAATGGAAAATGAATGTCAAACCGAATTGCACCAAATCGTTTCAAACAAAAACTTGTTGTTCCTGTATCGTATCGGAGGCCATGTATCTAGATACATATCAAATAGTCTTGAAAGGGAAATATGCACATCCATACTAATCAGTGATATCAAATTATTTTAAAGAATTCCAACAGGGGTACTATATCTACAATTCGAGACTGGGTGGGTCGTTTGCGTGTTCGCTCATTGAGCCCTAAGCAGTGAGGCATCTATACATATCCTGTGGGGTCGCGGAGCCTATTGTTGTCTCAGCAGCAGTGAGCACGGATGTCTCAGAAACATTGTGTCATTCCTATAAAGGTTGGGAAAGAAGCTATACATACTCCCGGGTCACGGCTGTGGGGCTCAGGCCTGACCGCCACTGAGAATAGAGGAAACGGTAACTGGGCTGACCGCCACGGTGTGTGACCCTTTACGCCATTGGTCAAACATAACAGGCCTTTTTATTAAATTCCATTGTCCTCCAAGAAGAGCTGAATCTCCACTCTACTTCAGTTCGCTCCGCAATTCATGCACCTTGGTTGCAGAGCGAGGTATCGGCAGTGATCCCTTCCCTTCAAACAAATCAGGCCGACAGATGAAGGCTAATGTATTCCTCCTCTTAAATTGTGATAGACGACGAGAGAAGTAGGTCAATAGAGTAATACTCCAGTATGCTTGGCCACTGAGACAAAGGTTGTGTCCCAAATGGGAATCTATTCCCTATATAGTGGGGCGGAAGGTAGCCTAGAGGTTAAGGTCGCTGGTTTGAATCCCCGAGCCGACTGGGTGAAAAATCTGTTGATGTGCCCATGAGCAAGGCACTTAACCCTAATTGCTCATTTTTGTAAAAAATGTTTTACTTTTGGCTCTGTGGCCTCCTATGATTAAGTGTCCCCTTCGGGAGCTATGGACTTCCTTCCACTGCCATTTTTACCGGCCGGGCCGTCAAAGGGCTCCAGACTGACAGCAAAAGAGAGAGAGGGGGGAGGAGAGAGAGACAGACAGACAGACAGACAGACAAGAGATAGCAGGAGAAAGAAGGAGCGAGGAGATAGCAGGAGGAAGAGAAGGGAAGGATAGGTGAAAGAGTGGCAGTGTAAGGAA